CCCCCCTCCCTCTGCCCATCCTCTCCTCTCCCCTTCCCTCTCCTCCCCTCCTCATGCTGCTACTGTTTGCTCCCCCCCTCTCCCTGTTTCTTCCTCTTCACCTCCGCAAGTGCCGTCAGTCCCTCGTTGCCGATGCTGTTGCATCCTAAGTCCAGGTCGACCAGCCCCGCACTGGTGTGGCTCAGAGCCATGGCGATGATCGCGGCGCCTCCTACGGAAGATCAGCAGGATAAGGAGAAGGGGAGAAGCGGCGGATACGAAGACTCAAGGAAACGGATGATGAGCGGAGGGAGGAGGAGGAAGGCGCAAGGAAGAATGAGGAGCAAGGTAGAGACGTAAAGGGGAGAGCAAGGATGAGTATAGATGAAGAGAGATTGAGCACGAGCGCAGAAGAGGAGGAGATGAGAAGAGGAGCAGAGAGGGAGAGAAGAGGAGAGGATAGGAGAAGAGGGGAGGGAACAAAGAGCACAAGACAAGTAGAGTGCAGAAGAGAAGAGGAAAGGCGGGGAGGAGAGGCTCTTGCCTGCTCCAAGGTTGTTGCTCCAGAGATTGAGCTCGAGCAGGGTATGATTCTTCTGCTGGTGAGTGAGAGGGGAACACTATCTCCTCCTCAAACCTGTAGCATGGGGACCAGTTGCGCTACTCCTTCCTCTCCTGCAGCGAGATGAAGGGTTGAGGAGGGAGGGAGCGACAGTGAGAAAGTGAAGGAGAGTAGGATGAGGTAAGGAGAAGAAGCATGCGGGTGGAAATGGCGAGGAGTGAGGAAGGAGGAGGAGGGGAGGAGAGGAGGAGAGGAGGAGGAGGAGAGGAGGAGGAGGAGAGGATGGTGGGAGGGATTGGAGCAGTGAAAAAGACAAACCTACCAATGTGATTGTTTTTCAGATTGAGTTTGGTAAGAGTGAAGTTTTCCTGTCAATCTGTCAAACACATTTATTGGCGTTTGACGGTCACCATCAGCGAGCTGAAAATTTGTTTTGCTCCAAACGAGCCTACAAAAAAATGAGGCAGGTAGACAAGGAGAATGGGGAGGAGAGGAGGAGATGGGGAGAGGAGGAGAGGAGAAAGGGAAGACGGGAAAACGAGTTCAATTGGTGGGGAAGCGAAGAGGAGGAGGTTCGAAAGAAGGAGGGCATGTAATGGGAGGGAGACATACCAATGGAGTTGTTTCGGAGGAAGAGAGAGAGGATAGCTCTGTTGACAGCAAGAGAATTGGAGATCGCGTGTATACCCCCGTCACCTGAACAAGTCGATCACATCATCATTGCAACAACATCTACAACCAACAGCAACTTCAACGCAGACATCAACAACCAACATAAACTTCAACAATGTCATTTTCTGATCCATCCCTCCACACCAAGCAACTCACACTCCCGCCATCATCATTGTCGTTCACACTCTCACCAATCTTGTTGCCTGACAGCCCCAGGGCAGTGACGGTCATGTTGGCAGCGAGAGCGTCGGCAACGATCCTAGCCCCGCTATCCCCGATGTCTTCACCGCTCAGCGTCACAACCTAGGAAGACGAGAGGAGCAAGAGGAGTATCACTTGAGTCCGTCAAGTCGACCGTCGTCAAGGTCGGGTAGGAGGACAAGACTGAGGGCAGCGAGCAAAGGTCCTACACTTGTCGTCAAGCTTTCAACCCTTTCCCTCCCCTTCCCCTTCCTTTTTGCGTCAGCCCTCCCCCTCCCCCCCTCCCTCCCCCTCCTTGCGTTGAGGACCTGCTCTTCGATGCTAAGGTTGCTCAACTTCAGCAGAGATCCGTTCTGAATGTGATCGAACAGAATCGAAGGAGAGCTGGCAGGTTCCTGCTATGACGAGGGTCAATTCTGTGACCTCCTCCTCCTCCTCCTCCTCCTCCTCCTCCTCCTCCTTTTCCAGCCGGCCCCAATCAACCACGACAATCCCACCTCCCCCCTTCCCTCCTCCCTGCTGCTTTCTGTTGTTCATCCCAAAGCATCGTTCCCTCCCCTTCAGCTCCATGACACTCCTCACCTTCCCCTCTCCAGCGCTTGACGTTCCTGCTTCTCCCTCCATCCCCCTCCGCGCCCTGTGTGTCCCGATCGCCTCCCTCTCTCCTCCGCTCGGCGAGTTCTCCTGCTGCCGAGCAGAAATAGTGATGATGCTGCTCCTCTCCTTCCCCTGCCATTGCATGTCAGCTCACCACCCCTCCCCATACTTTACCTTCTTCTCCCTCCGTCCCTCCGTCCCTCCGTCCCTCCGTCCCTCCGTCCTTCCTCATGATCGTGTTGTCACTAGTCCCATACTACCAGATCGCGTCCTCTCCATTCCTTGACCTCCTTTTCCCCTCCCATAATGATCCCACCTCTTTCCCTCCCGCGTCTTACTCCTTCTCCTCGCTCCCTCTCCATGTCATTCTCCTAACCATGCCTGATCTCTTCCTCTCCAGCTTCCCCAGCTTCCCCAGCTCACCCTCCTCCTCCTCCTCCTCCTCCTCCTCCTCCTCCTCCTCCTCCTCCATGCCCCCCTTCTCCCGCTGACCTGTGTCGTCGCTGATATCATATGGATCTGACTTTTTTCCACCTGCCCCGCCCTCGTTTTCTTCAAATCTTCCAGCTGGATCATATCCCCAAAGGAGCTCGAGCTGTGTGACATGCTGGAAACCGACCGCAAACTGACTTCCCTGTTCCTAGCTCCCACATCCTCTGCTGGGGTCGGTGCCGCTGCCTCTGCCACGTTGGTCGGCCCCGGCGGTTCCGACTGAGGCTGCGACGGGAAGATGGAGAGCTGGCGGATGGTGGAAGTGGGGTAGTCGATCTGGTAGGAGGGTTCAGGTCGAGCAGGCAGAGCTGGGGATGGTGAGGGAGGGAAAGAGGAGGAGAAGGGGGGTGGCTAGGAGAAGGATAGGAAGGAGAGAGAAGAAAGAGATGGAAGGGAAAGGGAGAGCAAGTCGGAGGAGGAGGAAGAGGGATAGGCGAAGGAGGAAGGGGGGGAGGGAACAGGATTGCAATCATTCGAAGATGGTTAGAGTAGCAGGAGGAGTGAAGATTCTCAGCATGAGAAAGAAAAGTAAGAATTGTTTCTCCTCACATCCAGCTTGACTTCGAAGTCTGGGCGGAAGCGGCGGATGGCCGAGAGGTCCATGGTGGAGAGTTGCTGGAGGAGAAGGTCAGGCACGTCCCAGGGCAGGAAGAGCAGCCAGAAGGAGAGGAGTAGGGAAGGAGAAGAGGAGCGGCTAGGGGAGGAGGAGCTGTGTCATCCCACCGCCCTCTCCCACCTGCTCTACTGTCGCATCGAGGGCTGCTGTTGCTTCAAGAAAGTCATAGTGGTCCTCCTTCTGGAGTGCCGCGTTGATGTCCCTCACGCTGTTCGCCAACCCGTCCTCCAGCACCTTCCCAGCACGGGTCATGCATCCTACCAAAAGATTGCACGCAGCTGATGCTACCTTCAAGTCCTCGCCAATCTCCACCTGCTGCGTCTGCTTCGTCTGCTCCAGCCGGTTGATCTGATTCAGAAGCTCGACCTCCCTCTGGTCGAGCGCGTCGGTCACGGTCCCGATCTTCTGCCGCATGTCCACGTTGAGGTTGGAGAAGTTCTTCATGAGCTCTTCCTTCTTGTTGGTGAGCTCCGTCAAGACCTGCTCCAGCTTCTCCTTCCTCCTCTGGATACTTGCCCGCCTCTCCTGAAGCTGCGGTCCTGTTAGCTCACCCTCCTGAGAGGATCAGATGAGTCTGCAGACCTTCTGGCGAGCAAACTCCTTGGCGCTCTTCTTGGCTAACGCGATCTTGTCAAACTGACCAACACAACAAACACGTCTCATGACTTCGCCACAAAAGGATTTCTCAGGTCAGCACCTGATCACTGATTCTTTCCTCCAACATCCGCATCCCGTCGACAGTGAAGGAAGAGACTTCGATGGAGCAGCGTGAGACCTCATCACACGATAGCAGCCATATCACCTGGCGTGCTCAACAAGTGCTGATATGTGCCTTCAGCGCACTGCTGAAATCCTCGCTGCCACAACGATCAGTCGAAAGGAAGAAACAAGAACGTCACAATGACGCATCATGGAGGTTAGATGGGACGTGGTCGTCATGATATCGATGAGTATAGTCCTCTGAGGAGAGAGGACATCTACTTTGGCCCCGTACCTCCTTCAAAGAACAAGTAATCTGCTCGTAGCTTTTGTCGAAAAGTTTCACGTCTCCTGCGACAACTACAGGGCAGGAAGGTCAGGGAAGAAGAAATAGGGTCCAGATACAGCCTGTCCTCCTTTCTTACCTTCTCTTGCGAACCTGAGCTTCTCCTTCTCTTCCTTCACCGCCTCCTCCCCCCTTCGCACTGCCCACCATTGCTCCTCCCCCGCCATGAGTCACCCGAGTCCCGATAAAATTGGGTAGGGTTTTCCATCGAGGGGTCGATCCTAGAAGAGATGATGTTTGATATGGGGTAGGTGGTTTCAGTACCGGTGTAAATCAATCTATTAATTGGATCATTGTAGGTGGGGTGTAGAAAAGGAGGGGTTAACGATTTTGATGTAGGGGTTTGTAAATGGATGTAGGGGTGGGTATCGGGCGGGGGTGCTAAGAAGTGAATTAGCTTATCTAGTAACTAGTTCCGGGCCGTTGAAACCCTTCGGTCAAGAACCTCAAGAATATGGAGAAGAGGAGGAACCATTGCGATGGAGAGCCGGGAGAGGACAGGACAGGACAGGTGTGACAGGACAGGTGTGACAGGACAGGACAGGACAGGACAGGACAGGACAGGAGGAGAAAGCACAGGAGAGCACAGGAATGTCGTGAGTGAACCGTTAGACATACATCAGATCGCAGCAGGCTGCATCAATGTGAGTAGCGGCTGAGGAGAGTCTTCAAAAACAACAAACATGCCGTTCTCCAACAGCTTGCAGCAATGGAGCAGCGAGCTTCAAAAGGACTTGGAGGACAGGATTTCAAATCCGCACTATCCTGTCCATGCTGCCAGGTCCACCAAGTTTATCCAGCTGTACAACAAGGTGCAGGCAGAGATGCTTGCTCCTCTTTCCGAGCCGCAGGAGGGTGAGGGAGCGAGAACGCAGGAGAACAAGCACACGTCCTGGTGGCCGGTCTACCGTTGGGCCATCGCGTATTCGTCCCCTACCTTCCATAGCAATCTCGTATCGCACATGATCAGGAGCTGCGGGGCCAACCTGTACCCTAGCAGGAAGGAGGCGGAGAGGAAGAGGAAGGAGCTGACCATCATCTCCATGCATGCTCGCGGCATCCCCGACTGGGACCTTGCTGGGCATGACCTGGCGGCAGCAATCAGGGAGCAGGGGAACCGAGACTACGAGGAGTACGAGCAGCGATTGTTCGAGCGCCTGATGAGATCGTCGGCAGAGGCCAAGAGGCAGATGATACGCCACACGTTCGATCTTGTCTGGCTGATACCCGGGCAGCAGAGGAGACAACTTCCCGACCTCCCTCTGCTCTTCGCCGCTCAGACCGAGACTAGCATCATACGTTCCTTCGGGCTCATTACCGTGGGGGAGTTGATAGTTCGGATACAGTGCGCTGCGCGGCGCTTCGTGTCTAGGAGGAGGTTCCGCAGGGTGAGAGAACAATGCAAGGAGGGGAGGGAGGGAGCAGCATTCCGACTGTTGGAGGAGAGGAGGAGGTTGCTTCGCGCGCTTGTTAAAGTGCAGGTGAGGAAACCTGAGAAAGGGTTTCATTTCGAGTCGACTCAGTTGTCGTCTCCTCCTCCACCACCTCCACCACCACCTCCATCTCCCCCTTCTCCTTCTCGCCCCCTCCCCCTCCTCTTTTCATGGTGTTTGACAAGGCGTCCTGTCTACGAGCTGTTGTGTATGGTTGAATGCAAATGGGTGTGTTTCGATCATGTTTTGTTCCCGTTCTGCACTATATCGTGTCAAAACATCCTCTAACTCACTTACTCACTCTCTCCCTCTCTCCCCTCTCCTTTTCTCGCTTGCACTCTGATACGTGCTTTCTCCAAGTCCTGGGCACGTCGAACCCTTGCAGCAAGGCTGGTGAGGAGGCGGAAAGAGGCAGCGGCCTGCCTGAAGAAGCTGGCGAAGTTCTGCGGGAGGTAGAGGAGGAGGGAAGAGGACCTTGGATGTCGCTGACAGGCTATCAACACTCAGCTCGCAGTTTACGGATGCATTTTCCCCCTTCTTCCGTCAGTACTCCATCAACTTCCGTTCGGTCGAGCTGAGGTGCTCCCAAGCTGCCTGCAAGCTTGTGCGGCAGTTGTGATGACTCTGAAGACGAGCAGGAGCGAGCAGGAGCTGCGTTTCTACGAGATTTACCATCTCTTCCTCCTCAACTTCGAGAGGGTTTTGATGCAATTCTCAGCGAATGAAGGGGTCGAGTACCAGCACCTTCTAGACTACTGTGAGATTTCCTATGGTGCCGGGAACCTGCAAACCAGAAGGTGAAGGAAGAAGAGGGGGGGGGAGAGGAATGGAGAAAATGTTGAAAAGGATCTGGTTGTCTTGGTGACACGTTTTTTGCCATGTCGATGAACTCTTCTTGTTCTATCTGTACATGCGATGAATGATAGTTGAATTCCCATCTTCTGCCATGTGAAGGTCAATGTTATGTTCATGGGCGATACGTTCATATGCAGTTGTTTCAGAGATCCTATGACTGTCCTAGAAACCTTTGACAATCATGGTATCTAGAAACCTTTACATGCCATAGATACCATGAATGTCAAAGGTACTGCGCATGCCACAAAACCAATCGTGACAGCAACGTGTGTGGTAGATGTGTTGAACTGCTTGTGACGTCTTGTCAGGTTTGTGCAAGAAATGTTCCACCTGGTCAAATACGAAAGTTTCCTCAAGCTGATGCGTCAAGGTGCTGGTCAAACTTGTCAAACGCGCTCCTGAGCTGGTTCCCAGCTGGACTGGAGCAGAAGGGGGCGGAGTACATGTTCAAGGAGCAGATTTTCAGCTCGAAGATCCTGAACGTGAGCTGAGAAAGGAGAGATGGGCAAAACAGAGGGGGAAAGAAAGGCGAAGTCGTGTGACGAGCATGTCGTGCTGCAGATCATTGGAGGGTCCAGACTGCTGGCGAAAAAATTCTTCGACAGGCATGAGATGCGTGAGAAAGACGCACGGACGGTCTCTACCTCCTCCCTTCTCCAATCTTCATCTTCCAGCCTCCGTCCACCAGCCTTCGTCATGCCTCCTCCTGCTGCTGCTGCTGCTGCTTCTCCTACTCCTCCTCCTCCTCCTCCTCCTCTTCCTCCTCCTCTTCCTCCTCCTCTTCCTCCTCCTCTTCCTCCTCCTCCTCCTCCTTGTATTTGCTGTAAACCTCATGTCCACATGACTCGCTCTTACACTCTGCACCCGTAGGACAAAAGAATGATTTCTGCTGCGGGGGAAGAACAAATGCTTCTTAACTTCTTTGCCATCTACAAACCCCGCAGAACGGTTTTGACCCCCTTCTGGTACCGTCGACCTGACAGGGATGGGCAGGAGGAGGCCATGGAGGAGCAGCGGAAGGAGGAGGAGGAGGAGTTTCTGAGAGGGAATGTTCTGAGCAGCTCGTGCAAGTACAAGGTCAAGAAAGGAGAAGAGGCAGATGCGACGATGACAACGATGATGGAGATGGAGATGGAGATGGAGAGAAATGATGATGATGATGATGATGATGATGATGATGATGATGATGATGATGATGATGATGATGATGATGACGACGACGACGACGACGACGACGACGACGACGTCGACGATGATGATGATGATGACGATGCTTTCTCAGAGCATCAATCTATACGAGTTTGGAATCGACGAGACGATCGACCAAGAGAGGATACTGGAAATGTCATGCACTTCCCTTCCTTTTCTCTTCCTTTCTCCACCTTGCCCTCCAGTTTGTCCCTCTCCTTCCCTTCTGTCACTCTCACTTGCAGCTCATTCCCATCTATCGCCCTTCTCCAATCTCGCTCTCCCTCCTTCCCCTCCCTCCTCCCACCTCCAAAACTCCTCCTGCCTCATTCCTTTGCTTCTTTTTGACTCTGCTACGATTCAGGCTCGAGGAGCAATACGCGCATGACGTCATCACATCCGATGAGCTTGAGCTCCAGAGAAAGTGAAGCCATTTAGCTCCCCGTTTCCTCTGCTCTCTTCTCCTCTCCTCCTCTCTCCACTCTCCTCTCTTCTCTCACCTCCCCTTCCCCCTCCCCTCTCCTCTCCTCTCCTCTCCTCTCCTCTCCCGTACCCTCCCCTTCGCTTCCCTCTCCTCCTTTCCTTTGGTGTTTGTGGTGTTCCAGTTTCTTCTCCCGCTTCTGCACGTGCTTCTGCACTTGACCACAGACAGGTGGGCAAGGACACGAGATTCCTGGATTCTCCAGGATTGGATCGACTACTTGAAGGAGCAGAAATCGTCCGCTCAGAACACACTTGGTCAGGTTTTCGAAATCTTCACGAAGGTGAGATGAACAAAAGAATCTGTTGACGACGATACAAGTGGTGCTGATGTGCTCTTGAGTCAATAATTCAGCTTTGATGTCTTTGTTGCTTTTGTTTGCCTGTTTCGTGAAGATGTTACTCTGCTGTATGCGTTGTAGAGATTGAGTTTGTCGGTTCCCACACCCTTGACGTTTCTTCGCAAGCTGGATAATTTTTTCCTGCGCACAATCTTCCTTCTATCATGGAGGGGGTGGAAAACAGTTGTGCAAAGAGGAAAGGTGACAATTTTTCACCGCTGTCACTTCTTTTTCCCTCTCGCTCCAACTCTCTCGTTTCCTCGTTTCCTCCTCTTGTCTTCTATCCTTCGATCGTGCTCTGGTCCTCCTCTCCTCCTCTCCTCCTCTCCTCCTCTCCTCCTCTCCCTTCTCTCCCCTCCTTCCTGACTCGGCATCCTCTTCAGGTCCGCCGAGCGGTCACAGACTGCATTTCCCTCCAACAAAAAGACTTCATCGCCAGAAAGTTCTTGGTGGCCTGGCATGAGGAGGGGAAAGTCGCAGCCTTGCGAGCTCAGCAGGAGGAGCTTCAGGTCGACTCTCGCCACCTGCTTCTTCCTCCCGCCCTGACTTGAGTCCTTCCCGCAGGAGTATTTCAACACCCGAGGAGGGTCTTCTGCTGCTCTCAAGAAGAAACTGCGGGATATATCGAGCACTTTCTCCTCCAAGATCGTGAGCCAGCAGCCAAGCAGGTCAAGGAAGAAGGAAAGTTTCATCAACCTGCTGCAGAGAGCTGCAAGGGACGAGAAGACGTAGCGTACTCCTCCCTTCCTTTTCTCTCTTCTCTTACCTGCGCTTGCAGAGACGCCTCTCCTCGAGCAGGGGAGGGAGATCCCTTGACCTCCGATGGACAGGGGGAGGGAGAGAAGATAGGGCAGGAGGAACAGAGGCAAGGAGGGAGGAGAGATGATGGAAAGAGAAGAGAGAGCGTGCGAGGAAATGGGATAAGAGGAGAGAACAAGGGGGATGATGAAGGGGGGACACAAAATGCTCACGATGAAACTTATGGCAACAAGGTGGAAGAGAAGGTAGGGCTTGTTCAGAACGAGAGTCAAGTAGGGAAAAGAGATGAGACGAGCATTGAAACCATCGCCAAAAAGGAGAAAGAGAATGAGGGGGAGGGGGAGGAGGAAGCCGGCAAGGTAGGAGAGGTGGGCAGGCATGGCAAGGATGTGACCGAGGACGAGGCCACTTCAAGGTCGCCGGCACAAGGGTTGATCCCCGATCAAACATCGCACCATAGCACCAGGAGAGCCTCTTCTGCTTCCCTGCGGAGGAGGGAGCCCTCCTGCGGCTACGAGCACTCCTTCGACTTCCTCCTCCTCGAGGGAACAAGCACGCGCAGAGGCTCCTCCAGAACGAGCTTCTCTGTTGCCGCCGCCGCGCCCCCTCCCCCTCGGCCTCCCCCTCCTCTCTCCCCTCGCAAGAGATTCCAAGCTCGCTATGCTCATCTGCTCAAGGCCTCACACGAGCCGCCTGCGTGGCTGACGAGCAGGAAAACGAGAGGAGGGAGGAGAATCGTGCCTAGGAAGCAGGAGAGGAAAGACCGGGGCAGCTCTGCGCATCCTCCTCCTGCTCCTCCTGCTCCTCCTGCTCCTCCTGCTCCTCCTGACAAGGATCAGGCAAACGTAGAGAAGAAAAGGTTGCAGGAGGTTTTCGTTTCTCAGCCCTGGATTGCAAAGAGGTAAGTTCATCCCCCCCCTCAACATCTTTCTCTTTCCACCCATTCCCCCATTCCTTTCCTTTCATTACATTCTACCAGTCCTCTCCTATCTTCATCTTCACTGCTGGTTTCTCCTTTCGTCTGTTCTTCTCTTCCTCCATCCTGAATTCCCGTCTACCTTCCGCCTGTTGTTTCTTGTCTCCTTCACTCTGAAAACATCGAGAGTTGCGCAACAATCGCTCTCCAGCCTCCTACCCTCTCCCCCTTCTCCTTTCTCTCATGTTCCTCGTTCACAGGATCAACGTCTTCTACGAGAACTTTTCGGGAGGTCAAACTACCAATGATCAAATTTGGCTCCTCTACTCAGATTGCTCTGATCCTTCCAAGATGCTAGCGGTATCTTCCTCTTCCTCTTCCTCTTCCTCTTCCCAGCCTCCACC